CGCCTCTCAAGCCTCTCAAGATGGGCTTGTCCAATGAGAAAGGCCGGAATCCCAAGTGGGAGTTTTGAGATTTTTATGACCTCAGAAGACTAATTCATAGATACTAAACATGGTAGGATTACATATAGGTAAGATGACAGGAACGAGTGGTTCCATCATAAGCCTGCATAAAATAGTATAAAATCTCAAAGACAACATACACAATGACCTGAAGGATTTGTGTGTTCATTCAAAGAAAGGTTTTCCTATTAATTAATTAGAGAAGAGTCCATTTTTACTGTGCACTGTGGATTTCCTATGGAAAATGTAGTGCGAGGGGAAATTCTCAACATGGCATTAGGTCGTAAATGTATCTGGTCTAGCAAAGGTGTCGTGGTTGCCATGGGGACCAGGGGGGGCCTGGTGTCGTTGCAGACATCCTGGCACCCAGTATGTTTATTGGGTGAGGGGTCTGTGAATGTTTGTTAATCTAATGAATAATTGATTTGTTAAATCAAATGAAAAATGGTGTGTCTGATTGGTCCAGACGCTACAAATTCTATAACTGAAAAAGGGCAAGATGTCTATAGTCTCATCTTATTGAGTTTATTGGGGTGTTTGTATGAACTGTATAATGGTTTAAAACGATATGTACTGTAAAAACAGAAATGCTACCCACATCCAACACTACATTTAACATCTAATAAATAGAGACTTGCGAATCTCATTAATCTCTTCTGCCATGTCTCTGACTGATGTTCTCTGTCAGTATAGCTATCATCTCATGTGAATTCCCTGCTGACAGAAAAACACAAGCTAAATGGCACTGAATGCAGGTGATCTAGGAAGGACCTGGCTTCCTTGTCTTCATACATTTAAAATCTGCGGTGACAGCTTCTGCCTTACATACTTCTGCCATGTTTCTCCAAATGAAAATGTCTTGAGGTTATCGTGTCATAAAGACTGAACTGAAAGCTACAAAAACTCTATTGCACATGTTTATTGTGTTTCTCTCTTCTCCCCTGGTTCAGGTGGTCCTCTGACTGTCACTGATGCTAATCTAGCCCTCGGCCGCCTGCTGCCTACTTTCTTCCCAACAATCTTTGGCCCTGGAGAAAATGAGCCTCTCTCAACTGAGGAAACCATGAAGCATTTCCGCACTCTCACAAAAGAAATTAATCAATACCTCTCAACTAACCAATTATTGAGTAGTGCTGCAGGAGGGCACCATTCAGAAATGAGTGTAGAAGATGTTGCCATGGGCTTCATCAATGTGGCTAATGAGGCCATGTGCCGGCCAATCAGAGCACTTACACAGGTACAGCACCCTATTTAGTCATTTTCAGTAAACAGTTCAGAAAACACTGAACTTAAGGTATTTAACTGACAAAGTTGTTTGCATGCTTTATTTCCAATCATGAAATAATGCCTTACAAAACTTCCTTAAATTCTTTCCAAAATTAAGATTCATTCAACAGCTTTGATTCAAGTGGATTAAGGAATGCCTTTGCTGTGCACCTTCACTGTGTGCGTGGTTTGTTTGGGATAATTGTTGCGTTATACCTGACCATTACACCAACAGGGACATTGCATTCTAAATATAGGGCTCTGTGTGGGCCAGTCAAGTTCTTCCACACCAAACTCATCCAACCATGTCTTTATGAACATTGCTTTGCACACTGGGGCACAGTCGTGCTGGAATAGAAAATGGCTTTCCCCATTTTTAAAACTTTTTTTTGTTCCCACAAATTTGGAAGCATTGTCCAATATGTCTTGGTATGATGAAGCATTAAGTTTTCTGTTCACTGGATGTAAGGGGCCTATCCAAACTACTTTTTTTTTAAAAACAGCTCTATACCATTATCCCTCCTTCACCCAACTTTACAGTTGGCACAATGCAGTCAGATAAGTAACGTTTTCCTGGTATTTGCCAAAAACAGACTCACCCAGTAGACTGCCAAACAGAGAAGCATAATTCATCACTCCTCATAACTCTTTTCCTCTGTCCAGTCCAGTGGAAGCATGCTTTACACCACTCTATTTGATGCTTGACATTGTACTTGGTGGTGTGAGGCTTGCATGCAGATGCACTGATC